TCTTTGATGACCATCAATTGTACCGAAAAGAAAGACCACATCGAATCAAAAACTAAGAAGAAGAAACCGAAAATTATCCATTATCGAGTTGTCATGTTACATATTATTAATATACGAATATAATAACTGACCTAATGGCCACTTTACAGCGAAATGAGATAACTTTTATCTGGAAATCCCTTGTTAATCCTTAACCATAATTGCTTGAGAATTCATGATGATGACAATTGACGGAAATGGGGTAACCTTATTTCCTCACCATCTCCCTGATTATTCAACTCGGAAATTAGTTTCATTTATGGGAAACAACATTTTCCAAGTGTATAAATTGAATTTTCAGTTTATCTTATTCATATTCCCAGAGAAAAAAAAATATTATCTTTCATTTCAATTGATTATCATGGAGTTGTTATTGTTAATAACCTGAAATTTACATGATTAATACACCAAACTAGTGAGAGAGTTGAATATTTTTAAAAAAAGAGGAATCAGAAAAATCTCATATCCTCATTTCCGTTTGAACTTGACTTGACCTTACCTAATGAGCTAATTTAATGATCAACTTACATAACAAATGAGTTGATTAATCAACATACTCCCAATCATTTAATCAAAACGATTGATAATCATGATGATAATTCAATTGTCATATAATTTCATTAGAAAAAAAAAGTTCAATTTCTTTTATTTCTCCACATCTCTTCAACTATGCTTTCAGCAAATTAAATAATCAACTATTACATATGAATATCATCATGAAAGTATTTATCTCAATTCACTCATTCAACAAACTGGGAATTGATAATTGAATATACATATGAAAATATATCCAACTAAGTCTGATTCGTATTATTTTTAGTGCAATGAGTATGATTAATGATGATTATTCAGTCATGATGAATTTCACCCAAAGTTCTGATGATAACTTTGTATTCGTCGGTAGAAAAACATTATTAATATTATCACCATGATGATGATGAAAAAAAAACCGGAACACAAGGTTAAATAAATAGGGAAGATGATGATGACTTAAGAGAGGCAGAGAGAGAGAGAGAGAGAGAGAGAGAGAGAGAGAGAGAGTATAAACATAATATTACAAGAATATGAATTTCATCCAGAATCATCATGGTTTCTCTTTCACTCAAATTACCATAAATTTGCATTATTTTTCTTATCAGTTTCAATCTTCTCTCTCTCTCTCTCTCTTCTTCCTTTCCATCATCACCATCATCATCTTCTTTATGCTCACACACCTTTACCAGAACTTTTGTTACCCCACTTACTAGAATATCATCTCCTCTCTTTCAACCAGAATTTGGAAAAAAAAACTCAACATGGTTTCAAGATGATAAGCAAATCAATATTCACACAGGTAACATGATACAATACAATTGGAGTTTGCCCTTAGTTCTTGGATATGATTCAGTGATCGAGATACAGACAAATAAAATCCAATTTGAAAAGAGAACAAAATTTTACTTTTTCTTATTCCAACTTACTGAATTCTCGTTCAATTTAATATTACAACTTACAAGTGTATCTTTCTGGAGAAAGATTTTTACCTTGAAATGAGAACATGTTACCTGAATATAACAATAGAATTGATGAATATTCTTGTTAACTGTATATCATTGAAATTACAACGAAATTCGGGTAAAGTGATGAGTGATTAAATTCCAAATACCTGGAGGCTTTTTTTTTCATTCCATGAAATTTTCCTTCTCCTTGAAATACAATTTCTCGAATTATTTTAATGATAATTTCAAGTGTTTACAGAATTTCTCTCATTTTCTTATTGTTTGTTTATGAATTTCAATTCGTATTCTTATTATTATAACTGTTAATATTTTCTTACTTATCTCATAGGTACTAATGAGATCCTAATTACTTATACCCTGAGGGTAGTGAAAATAAGTTTCCATCAGATTTCAAATGTCTTTACATGAGATTGGTTTATTGTGAGAAATTCAGTAAATATATTGTCATGAACAATGAGACAGAAAACGGAATAAGATTGACATTCAACTGCTTGGAGTAAAATTAAATTCTAAACTGAATTAGAGGGAAAACTTTTCATAAAATAATTGTTCCGAAATTCCAACAGAATCAAATTATCAGAATGAGAAAATTTCACTTTCTTTTAGTTTCAATTTCGAGGTTAATTTCATGATATTTGGTCGCTGTGGCTGATTGATTGTGGATATTTACTATCGATATAATGTTGAGATGATTGATTATATCGAAATGTCAAAAGCATTTTCTACAATTACGATGCTAAGATGAAAATGAAAGAGAAAAAGTGTAAGCAAAAGTTATTTCTCCTTGTCGAATAGTAAAGAAAAAACTTTAAAGATGAAATTAAGAATAAGAGAAGAAAAGAAAAGTTCGAAATCGAACAAAAAACCAAAGTATTATTGCTAACAAGAGAATAATCGAGATGAACATTTTCTCTCTCTCTCTCTCTCTCTTTTCTTTTATCTTCTCTCAGAATAATAACAATACATAAGAGAATGGAAAATAATGGAAAATCAAAACTTCGTAACTGTATCAAGTTGAGTGTATGAAAATAATGGCAACGAAAATAAAAGTAGCAACGATTTCCTTTAGATGATAATAGTAGTAGGTGAAAGTTGGAATGGGTTGAAGGTGCGATAGAAAATGATGAAAATATATTTTTCTTTTATGCCAAGTTATCATTTTCATTGTTTTTCTTTGATGTTTTTTTCTTTTGCCATGGATATTATTACTTTATGAAATTCAATCGAGTCTTTTTCGTTTGGAGTCAAATGCTTACAGTTGTGTCTCATGTGGAAAAAGAGGAAACCTAATTTTCAGGGTAGCCTCAGAGCGAAAGGGAGAAAGAAGATAAACCCATCATAGTGGTTGATTTTTACTCTCATCATTATAATGGTGATGATAATGATGGTGGAAATCAAGAAAGAAAATGAAAATATGTCAACGATAATCAAGTTCTCAATTCTAATAATCAAAATTATGTCAAGTAATGATGATATTCAGAGAGAGAGAGAGAGAGAGATGAAAAAGTTGCTCGATTCTAGTAGTTTAAAGGTTATCTACATTTTGACACAAATTCTGATCTTTTTGAGTAAAACTTTCTCTATTTGATTAAGTCAAGTTGATATTATTAATATATCATAATAATCAGAATTTTATACTTGGTATAATATTAATATAACTTTTGGATATCGTTATTTTCATGTATTTATTATTGAGATGCTGTAGTAACATTTTTACTCTCTCATTTTCAGGTTCATTTTGGGTTAACTCATGAGTTTTAATGGTTCATAAGTATCTTGACTTATGATAAAAATGATGATGGCTCCATATTATCATCTGATGTTGGCTTTTGCATTTGCGAAATCATTTGATAAGGTTTTCTTTTCTTTCTCTCTCTCCATGAGTATAAATACATTAATGGTGATGAGGTGGATGGAGAGAGTGGTTTGTGGAAGGTTTTACTTTCTGGATGAAATTAAGTGTATTCTTGTAGGGAGTGGAGAGGATAAATGGTAGAGTGGAAAAGGTGAAGAGTAGGCCAAGTAAATTTAATAATAAAAGGGTGAAGAATAGGGTGAGTTAAGGAGGGAAATGAGGTAGATGTATGAGAGTGGGAAGGTGAGTGCACATATATATGAGATTCGGGAAATGATCATGATATTAGATAAGAAGATGATATCAAATTGCTGAGAAAATTATATCAGAAGAAACTTAAGATAATCGTGTTTTCTGCTCAACAGAATTCTAGACGAATATGAGAGAGAAAGATAGTGTGAGAGAGAGAGAGAGAGAGAAAGACCAATTCGAGGATAATGAAGAAGATGGTGATAAGGATGATGATCTAAAGTAACTAAAAGAGGACTTTCTTTTCCTCCTCTTTTTTCTCCCTCTTTCACCCGATCATCTTTATCATCATGGTTATCAGAACCTAGTGACCCATAGATCTTCCTTGAATCATCCTCACAATCTTCAAATCATTCATCCATATTGAGTCTCATTTCTCTAACTTCATCTTTTATCTAACAATAATACAAATATAGAAAGAGAGAGAGAGAGAGATTGATGATAATGATAATAATGATTATGATGGTGGTAAAGATGAAGATTTAGTAACAATGATCAAAGATGGATGAAAGTTTCACATATTATTTGAATTGGCGCTTAACAGGGAAGCGTAAGGAAAAAGTTCTGAACCAGGAATATTAATCTTTTCATGGACATGATGAAAAAGGAGAGTAAAAAAGTCTCATGGTGATGACATTTTTACCTATTATCAGTGATGAAGATAAGGAAATGATGATAATCTTTGACGATGCTAAACAACAATAATAAACAGACATTAAACAACGACAACAACAACAATAATAAGAAGATGATATTAATAACAATAATAGTAGCAACCAGAATCGGATGATCAGAAGACAAAGAATAGGAAGATGAAAGAAAAGTTATACTAACACATGGAAGAGAAAGAAAGACAAAACTCATGGAACTGAGGATAGAGATTCAGATTTATCATTTTCTCTTTTCTCTTTTTTTTCTGATATTCTCTCTTTTTTATCTTCTTTTGTGCAAAGAAAATCATTCTCACTACCACACCATCCGCTCTCATTATCAACAGAATCTTCATCATCACAAAGAAGAGAATGAGAGAGAGAGAGAGCAAAGAATATCCATCATTATTCAGTTCATTTAATTCCAAGTATCCGTTGAGATAATTGAGTCGGTGAAGCAATGATAATGATAATGGCGGAAAATTGTAGATACACTGGTGGAAAAAAACAATGACCCACCACCTAGAACTTGTAAACGTTTTCTGAGTAAAGTTCCAGCACAAGGAAAAGTCAATTGATTCTAAATTGAGGTTTATCTCAACATCATCATGATCACACATGTAATTAGTTGATTGTATTCATAGTTTTAGATTAGGCTGAAAATCCTTCAATCATTTAATTCTGGAGATAATTATTCATCCAACTTACCAGGTCTATTCTTGGAGGTGGACATGAGGGTGCTGGAGGTTCTGAGCAAGCATCAACAAATGAACATGAACCAGAACACCAGACACATTGATATTTCCTCTCAGTTGTTTGGCACAATGAACAATCAGGCTTAGCCTGATGACTTCCTAAATGATCACATTTATATAAGGTAACTAAAGAAAAGGAGGTAAAAAAAATCAATCGATTATGATGATTAATTGATTATCCATGATAAACAAACAAGCAATCAATTGATTACTATTCTTATTACCATTTGTTTTATCAATCAAAGTATCTCCATCCCAAAGGACTGATAATTGTGCGTAAATTTTACCAGCATCACTTTGATATGTATACTGTATGGAAAGAAGATGAAATAATTAATTACCATGAGTAAAATTACAGTTATAATATTTGTGAGAAGAGAGAAAAATTAAATTTCTTTCAACAATTAAAGAGACAATTAAAGTTTACCATGTTAGATGAACAGATTATCTTGTCTCCTTTCAATCGAGCTGGAATCCGAGCTCGAGCTCCTTCAATTTCAATGATACATTCAAGATCAGCCTGGAAATAAATTGAATCAATCATTTATTTGGGTTAATTAATTTGTAACAATTAACATGATAAAATTAAATAGTAATAGTAAACAAATTAAGATCCCTTGTAAACTTTTCAATCAAATTGTGTACCAATTGTTTCGTGTGTGTGTTTCTGATTGTTTATTTTACCGATTAACTTAATGCATTACATTTATCCTTTCATTTGATTATTGGAACTTTTTTTTCATCCCTTTCTTTATGTTACTCATGTTTACTTTTATTTCATGATAATATCATCATCATGAAAACATCACAAATGAACAAAGTTTTACTTTATGTATACTTTTCATTCATGTTTTATTGTCAACTGTCAACAACAAAAACAACAACAATAACAAAGTAAAAAAGAGTAACAATGAAATGAAACATGGATGATGATGAAAATTCAATCTACTATTTAGATGAGATTAAATTAATCTAATAAATCAATAGGCAAATAGATACAAAAACAACAACAACAACAATTGGATCAACTAACAATCAAACAATCAAGAGTGTATTTAAAGGGTAATGGTAATGAACACAAGGAATCAATTGATTTACATTTGATTGAATATTGAATATTAATGAAGAGGAAATTGATAAAATCATGTGTATGTAATATTTCATATGATATTCTTACCATTGGATTACCAAAGTTCTGAACATGAATGGTTATCTCACGTTTAGCACCGTTTGGAATTAAAATTTCACGATCGATTCGGAAACTTGGACAATATTCAGAGGCAGGATCAGATGGGGAAGATGATGAAGAGCCAATTGAAAGCTATTATCAAGAGGAAAAGAGAAAGTTTTTCAAAATAATAACAAATTAATGAGAAATTGGATTCATTTGAATGATAGTCGATTCTAATATTTATCAATAAGGTCAACTTACATTCTCACTGGACAGTACATGATGACCTGAACAGAAACTACTATTATGTGTACATATATTATCTTGGATACACCAATTACAAGGCCACTTTGCTTTGACACATGATCGACATCTACATGATTGATAAAGGGGATAAAGTTTCATGAGAAAAGTTCTGAAAATATTTCTTATATTCGGTTATTGATAAAAGTTGATATTCCATTATGGTTATTGTAATAATAATAGAATCAATTTTACTCACGTTTTGTGAACTGAACACTCATAGAAAACAAAAGGTTTCGATATGAAATCTTTTTGAGTTACTGTACTTCGAACTGAAAGATTCACCGAGACATGATCTGAAACATGATATTAGAAAATGAGAAAATGAATTTTTCTTATTCTTACTTTTTTTTGGATAATGGAAAATTTAAAATTCCAATGATAATAAATATGAAATAAAGACAAAGAAAAAATAATGAGCTGATATTTATGATGGAAATAAATTATCTCCATCAGAATCGTGGTTTTTACAACTTAGATTTTCAATCCAATTGAATTTGAATGTTAATTTATCAAGGGAGTTGATTATATGTTATCAAAGATGAGAAGATAAATATTAACATGGTTTAAGAGGTTTTCTTAATATTGATCATTAAAAAGAATCGAGAATCTGATTTTATTCTGGTTTGTACATGAAAATTTCCCATGAAAAACTGAGAAAATTAGTTTTCAGCTTTTGGTTTTCTTTTATGTGTCAAATGAGAATTCATCATGTTTGAAATACTCACCTTTTCCCAGAGGTAATTGCGGCCTTTCGTCCAAGGCTGGAGTTCGACACGAAAGGCCAGTGTGAGTTTGTCGAGCGGGTAAAGGCCTACTTTGGTCACCGAAAAGGCATAAATAAGAGGAATGGAAAGGCGAAGGTGGAAGCTGAGTGATATATAATTCAACCTGAAGGAGAATAAGAAAAAAAGTTTCATTCACCATACATTCAGTATACGGAAATAGTGATGGTCAGTTAACTTACAGTGGACATTGCGGTTAAAGGTAATGAGTTTGGACGAATCTCTTCAAATTCAATACATTGAGGTGTACCCATTGGGAGCCAACGGGGTGAGGTAAATATCTTTTCGGTCATGGACCAACTAATATTATCATCACAATCACTTCGAGCAGTACACCTAAAGACCATTAAAATGTCGGGAAATTAAAAAAAAAATGAATAACAATCGAAAACGTTGAGAATAAAAATCAAAATCTAAAATTACCTGCGTTCTAATGAGCACCAACCACAATAAGGATTGTGTGAATTTAAACAAGAACTACAACTATTATAATGTTGACATCTTTCAATTTTCACTTTGGCAACCTAATTAGATGAGATAGAAAAGTCAATCGAAATGAAAACATTTAAAGATTCACAAGGAATTAGTTGAAAAAACTTGAAAGAAATTAAATTTACCTTGTAGGAAGAAGCGGTAATTACAAATTTATGTGTATGATCAAGTTGAATATCCTTAATTATTGGATTACCTTTATCAATCATGATCTCTTCAAATTCATCAGCATTTTCATGGTTTGATATAAGAACCTGAATGAAAAATAAAATAAAAATTTACCAATTAGTATAAAAAGATAATCAATATAATATATATCAAGATATTAATGGTGAAAATCAAATATTCATTCAATTGTGAACAAATTTAAATGGTAAACGGTAAAAAGCATTTTCTTCAATATTTCAAATGAATCAATTGGGAACAAAAATATCATAATAATAATAATATTTTCATACCACATTTTATATCATTTACATTCATGTGTATAAGTGATAATATCAATACATTTGTTGAAAGTTCACAACAATTTATATTGATGATGATGAGGATGATTGAACTGATACAATTTTACCAATGTAAAAATGATGCTAAATTTATTTATCACTTATACTTATTACTTATTGACTGATAATAATAATAGCACTTTTCAAGCGTTAAATTTGCTTAAACTAATACAATTGTCACTGAATTTTAAATTATATTGATCAAATTTGATTGTTGTTTATCATCATCACCATTCATTGGCAAAACAATGGTGACTTATTATATTAAATCATCACCATGTAAATATAAGCATGAATGAGTTTTCCCCCCCCTTGAATTGAACTTGGGAAGGAAAAATTTACTAATTCATTGAACCTGAAATCCTATGTGAATATCAATACAAACTGATAATTGCAATATTAAGACAGACAATCAATTGATCATCTAAATTATAATCAATATTAGATTTATATTATAATAGTGTTGTAATTAATCATGATTAAGTATTGAAATTTGATTATTCATCATTCATTAGTAATTGATAGTTGTTTAAGTGAATATCATGATTATGATGAATTTTTTTCATAAATCGAAGGAAAAATTTTTCTTAATAACCAAATATTAATATCATTCCAATGTAAGTGGTGTATAATTAATCAATCTAATTGTCAAGGTTAAGGGTTAATTGATTCTCTCTCTCTCTCTCTCTGTCAATTAATAGCTCTTTCTTACTGTAGTATTTTCACCTCATCTTCATCTTCCATCTCCTCCTCGTATCATCATCATCACCACCATAATAATAATAATTATCATCATCACACCAACATCATTAGACTTTGAATGTGTACATAATATTTGACACTTTTTTTCATCTCCTTTGTGAATAATTGACTGAATAAATAGATGAGATAAATGAATGGAACAAGAAGAAGACAGAACAAAAAGTTGAGTCTAGCTGAGGAAAAAGTTCCAAACTTAGAGTTTAAATTGACTGAATGAATAATAATTCTCATGCCTTGAGAGATGATTCACCATGAAAGAAAATATCATGTAGAGATAACATATTACATTACAATACAAAGTTCTATACCCATGATACTGAAACCATTGAGATAATTCATTGTTAAGTATAATAAGAAACCCTTAATCAATGGTTTCCTAAATGATAATCCATCTTACCATGGAGATAAACCTCTAATACATTTTCTCATGGTAAATGAAATTTGTGAAAACTTTGATATCAAATTATCATCAAGAAAATTGAATGAATAATTTATAAATATATAATTGTAAACTCTTTGATTCCAATTGCATTGCAATTGATAATAAATTACATGAATCATTCAACATTTTTGGGCTGAATCTTTTTCTTACAGATAATTAATCAACTATCATCATCATCATCATCATCATCATCATCATCATCATAATCATTTGCAATATAATTAATTGTTGTTGCATCAATGGTTAGTTTTTTTTTGTGTTATTGTGGTTTCTAGGGTTGGGATTTTTGTGATTACAGTTGGGAAACTATTCTGATTGTAATGACCATCTCTCTGAGTAATAATCATCTTGTGAAAGGACAATTAGGGATTTTATCACAATCCACCCACAAATTACGATGTAACAGTAGTTTTAGCAGTGTTAGTGACCAATGGTCATCATGGTTCACCTAATTTCTAATAAATTGTCATCAAACCCTAAAACACAATAACGACTTCATTTGCTTAACTCTTTCCACCATGTAATCCATTACTCCACCTTCAACATCCTCTCTCTACCTTCTCTCCCACCACCTAATTTTTTTCTTCCTCTGAATCATTTTCCACCATGATAATTGTTTCATCATCTCATGATAGTTTTCATTGAAATGTCCAGTTAACTATCAATTCTAATTTGGTTAATTAATTAAGACCATCAACTTATTGAAATTTGTCACCAGAAAGTGAGAAAAATCAAAAATTGATTAATTGAATCAAAATCTTTCACCATATTGGACAATTAGGATTATACTCAACATTAAATTGTTAATCAATTGACTAACATGTTAATATAATCCTGGTACAATCAGTTAATTGTGAGATAATGTACAAAAAAATCAAAGGGATATTTAAAGTTTTACTCAATCCAATTTTAAAACAGTCAATAAATATAATTAACTTTATAATTGTTCAACGATACATGTAAACAAATTAATTCGTTAATTGTAAACAATTAATGAGACAAAGGTATTAATAGAATACAAAATAATACAAAAAGATATAACTAATCAATGTGATTAAGGGATAATCTTGATTGAAACTTTACCTTCCTCATCTCTCATGTAATAATAAGATAATATGTATATATCTGGTTAATTAATGCAATTGCTCAATTAATTAGCCAAAGACAAAGCTCCTAATTATCAATTTTAATCATCATCTTCTTATAGTTTAATCCCTTTCTGTCTAATACAAAGGTAATATTATTATCATCATGCTATTACATCATCATCATCATCACTATCGTCATTATAATCAGAAGCTTTAAAAAAGTTTCCATAGATAATCATGAGCCGATAGTAAAAAAAGTTCAGAGATTCATTCATGATGACACATGATTGATTATCTTCATCATCTTTTGCATATTTGCATTGTCATTATAAATGCGAAAATAAACTAGAGCGAAAATGTCACCCCCACTCTCCACCTTCATCTTCATCTTCATCCTCATCTCACTTAATCATCATCACCCAAGTTCTGGTTACATCAGAGTTATTTTTCGCTCTCTCTCTCTCTCTCTCTCTCTCACTTCATCTTCATAATGTCAATAAGATGAGAGAACGATAATCAACTAGCTAATTATCAGAAATTCATTTTTTTTTCTCGTTCTCAAACATAAATTTCAATTTGTGCAACCAAATCAATCAATTAATTTAAATTGTGACAAATTATTGGCTCTGGTCTGGTTATTTTTTTGTCTAATTGAAATGACATCTTCCTTACAATAACTGTTAGACTTGTCATTTTGAGCAATTTGTATTAATCATAATTGATCATTCAATTGATTAGATAAACTATTATCATTACTGATTGTGTCAGCAAAAGTAAATGATTAGAAAGTATTTAAATTGTAGACAATTAATTAGCTAAGATGGTGGATAATGAGTCAGAAAATAATGAATCGTTCATGTTGAATAACGTTTCATGTGTGCGATTGTCAGTTGAATGTATAATTAAAAGTTTCGTTTGCATAGGAATTAATGATGAGAGCAAGAAGAAGAAGAAGAAAAGAAAAATACAATTATCATCAATGGGAGAAAGAGGAGATGATGAGGATGGAGATAAGAAGATGGTGAGGAAGAGGAAATGAAAGGAACTGTTTACTTTTTTACTCCAACTTACTTGTGTGTTAATTGATCTTTTTTAATTGGATCTTTAGAAGTGAAGATTTTTAAACTGTTCTTTTCTTTTTTATCTTCTTTTTCATCTTTGATGAGAGAGAAATAAAAGACTAACAAGATGATGGAGATAATGATGATTAAGCTGGAAAGGTAATGTTTCTTTTCTTTACGTGAAGATGATGATGAGGAAAATGAAGATATTGACTCAGAAGAGACAAAGATGATAAGAGATGTAAATATAATTCAGTGATTTTCAGGGTATCATGGAATCGAGAAGATGAATTTCTCCTCTCTATTTCTCTCCCTCTCTCTCTCTTTTCATACTTGCAATTTTTAGGGGTAAATAATAGATGAAGATGCTGAGATGAAAAGTAAACGATAAAGACAATGATGAGGGTTTTTTTCATCTTCTAAGTTAACAGAATGCAAAAACTCAGCATATTTTTAGTTTACCTTTTTTTTCCTGCATGAAAAACGTTTAGCATCCTCATCTCTTATCATCATTTGCATCTTCTTCATCATCACTGTATTTTTTTCCTCTCATCTCCATTTTCTAAGAATCTTTTTCTTTCATCCTTATTCGACTATTACACCTCCCTCACCTTCATCATTCCTCTTCTTACAATCGATTAGAATCTCTTCTTGTCTCCAAAAGAAACTTTCTCTCTTTCTCTCATCTTCCTCTCTTCATCTTCTTCTCCATTATCATTATCATCTCTATTGTTTTTCTATCAAAAGAGAAACAAAAAAAGAAGATGCATAATCTCTCTCTCTCTCTCTCTCTCTCTCTCTCTGATTCTCACCCAGAATAATCATTATCATCCTCCCTCTTTACTCCCATCATCTTCATTGTCATTACAAAACAATCAAAGAAAAACTTTTACTATCATTAAAAAATTATCTTCATCAATTATTTTCCATAGATTTTATTAATTTTAAAGTCTAATATCATCATCGTTTTTAATGATTAAACAATTACAGAGACAAACATTTACAAATTGACATCATCAGTATTATCATGAGAAACAATTAATAGATTAATCAATTTGTTTATACAACAATCATATTGATCTTGTATTAATTATTAATAAATTGTACACAAAGGTAAACATGAAAACTTTATTACTAATATTATAAAGTATCAATGATGATGAATCTGATTATTGTTTATCCTGATAATTCAATTGAGACAAACTAATAATAATCTAATCAAGTTGATTACCCTGAAAACCCAATAACTTTAAACCTCCAATACAATTGAAGTAATTTATCAAATTAAATTTAAATTCTCATTTTATTTTCACTGTTACCACAAAACTTATCCAATGTTTATTCATTCATGATTATCATTCACCTGCACTCCCATGAACACATACACACACACACTATGGGAATTAA